AAAATGTAATAGCCTACCACCTAAGGATTCTTCTACTAGACAATAACTACTCAAAAGAAAGCTTCCTAAGGTTTTTCTAAAACATGTACATTAACTAGACAAGAAACATCAAAAGAAAATATAAAAAAGTAGAAAGATAGGTCCACAGGTCAATCACTTCCATCACCCTCCCCACCATCATTCTCATAATCCCCCTCCTCCTTAGAATTGTCATCCTCCTCACTTTTCTCCTTAACCACACTAATAGGTGTAGCAGCAATAGGCATAGATCCTAGTCCAGCAGTAGTAGTAGGAGTAGAAACAAAAATAGGTGTAGCAATACCCATGGAAATGCCTCTTTATGGAAAGCACCTTCGAATAACCTCCTCTAAATCCTTACACAAAAATCCACCTTTAACTCCACTCTTTCCTAGGCACGCCTGGCCACTCTTACCTTATTCTCAATGCCACCTAGCCTCCCCCTCCAGCTTACTTATTGTTTTATTCACAGTGGGTCGAGAGGTAGGGCAGTCTCAGTAGTAGTGGAAGGAGTAGGCTTGTTCTTACCCTTAGACCCACTCATCTTGGACATGATGGAGTTCTTCCTCTCCCCAACACTGCTACTAGGGCCCAGCTTAGGAGGTCTCATCTTCACCCCCAGCTCCCAGACAAAGCTTAATGATCATACTCCCAAAGGGCATATTCGCCTTCAGTCTGGTAGTCATGCAGTAGTCTCTTAACACACCCCAGATCATTAGAGCAATGTTGATCCTCGACCCTGCCATGAACTCACGCAGAAGCACAATGTTCGACATCCCCAACTTCTTCACTAAGCCCTTGGGGTAGATATTGTAATGGAGGATGTTTTTGGAAAAATAGTAATCGGCCTCCAGATGGCCATGAATGAAAAGGCCCTTTGAAATATTTGGGGCTATGTATATCTCCTTCACGTACTTAGAAGGGTCTTTGATAGTAGAGTTCACGTGAGGGTCGTCAATCTTAGACTGCTCAGGCCGCTCATAGCTTAGGTATTTAGCTATTGAAGTCGCGGCTGGGCTGTATTGGATCGGAGAAGTGTGGTTGGGGTCTCCCCCTGTAGGTAATGGACCTATGACCAACTGGGTGAAGTAACATCTATCACCTTATCCTAGACCTTTGTCCTCAACACCATCAAATCATTATCCACCACAGAAAAACCCAAGTAGAACTCTTAGCAAAGTGACAAAATATAGCCTTCAATAGGCGTAAAGGAAAACTCTAACCCACCGTCACTAACATCAATTCATTAGTGTTCTAGAATATAAGAAGTGGATTTTCTATATATAAAGTTTTTTAGAATCTAAGGAGAAACATAGAGTTCTTTGTCTACCACTTTGCCACCCCCTAACATCCTCTAACGGCCAAAGCGAGCTGTCCAAAGACCACAGTCCTCCATGGCTTTAACTGCTTCAAGATCCTCCTTAGGTATGGTTCGTTTTCTCTCCTCCTTTCTATCTTATCATCATTTCTTTAATCGACAATTGGCTTTTCTTTGTACTCTGTCACAACACCCCGAACCTACCTAATATTCTCAAATTGTGCATTACCCTAATTGGTGTGATGCCATTTCTGCTAAAATTCATGCCTTGGAAGCTAATTAAACTTGGATTCTCCAACCTCTCCCACCAAAAAATAAGCCAATTGGTTGTAAATGGTTGTTCAAAACGAAACTTCGGGCTAATGGATCCATAAAACGACACAAGGCTCGCTTGATGGCCAAAGGCTACACTCAGATAGAAGGTCTCGATTATCATGACATGTTTGCTCTTGTAGCTAAATTGGTTACTGTTAGGTGTATTGTTGTAGTAGCTACAACTCCAAATTGGCACAACCTTCAATTGAAGGTCACCAATGCCTTCCTTCATGGTGACCTTGAGGAGGAAGTTTACATTACACCGCCACCAGGTTATTTCATGTAGGGCTCATGTCTACTACCTTCCAAAATCACTCTATGGACTCATAAAAGAATCTCAGAATATGTTTCTCCAAACTATTCTCTATGTTACTTGCTATAGGATTCACACAGTCTGATGCAACCGACTCTCTCTACACACTTTCTTATGGTCAATCATTCACTCTCATCCGTATTTATGTTGATGACATTCTCATAAATGGGAACGATCTCTTCATACTTAGCAAATACAAGTCCTTTCTTGCTTAGAAGTTCAAGATTAAGGACCTTGGCCAGTTAAAATATTTTTATGGCCATGAAGTTGCTCGTTCTCCGACTGACATATTTCTTAATCAAAGGAAATAGGCTCTTGACATCCTCATTGATTTGCTCACTTTCCAATGGAACAAAATCTTAAGCTCAATAATTTTTGATGGTGATTTCCTTTCTAATTCGATCTATTTTCGACACCTTGTTGGTTGTTTGATCTACCTCATCATCACACGCCCATATATTGCTTTTCCTATCAATATTCTAAATCAATTTATGCACTAGCCACAACAACCTCATTATGATGCTACAGTTTGAATCCTTCAGTATATTAAAGCATCTCTAGGTCAAGGAATATATTTCCCTACTACCAACACTCTTCAAATCTTGGCCTACTCTGACTTGGATTGGTCCAGTTGTCCACTCACTCGTTGTTGCACCACATATTTCTTCATCTAACTTGGCACTAGTCCCATTTCATGACACAGTAAAAAACAACTTATAGTCACTCACTACTATGTAGAAGCTAAGTATCGAGCTCTTGCCTCTACCACATGTGAGCTCACTTGGCTCAAAACTCTTTTACATGATCTCGGTGTGCCACATCCTCAACCTATGTTGCTCTGCTATGACAATCAAGCGGCTCTTCATATTGCTGATAATTATTTGTTCCACGAATGCATCAAACACATCGAGATTGATTGTCACATCGTTCATGAAAAGTTGCGGGCTGGTCTTATTTCCACCATGCATATCCCTACTCAAAATCAACTTGTCAGTATATTTACTAAAGCTTTAGGTCAAAAACCATTCCAAGAATTTATCGCACAAGTTGGGCATTACAAACCTATATGCTCCCACTTGAGGGGAGTGTTAATCATATATTACCAACCTTGTACAAAATTATTTTCCTTCCATTAGTAGCATTCTAACTAACTAATCCAGCCTCACAATAACACAACATTCATGTGCCCTTTAGTCTAGGAATTTTAGCCTTAAAATAGATCTTTGATATGGGAATTTTGTCTCCTACTTTTATATATATGGTTGTATCTTGTCAATACAATTATAGAAAATTCCGACAGCTTTGCCTCTTTCTTCCATATTCTTGACATTTGATATTAAGATATATAGAAGTGCTATTTTAGTTTTGGATTATTTAGTGACTAAAATATAGTGGTCTTTGAGTTAGGTTAAGTAAATTTTTTTTTTTTGAGATTGATTATGCAATGATTTGTTTGTGTTAAACATGTTGAGATTTTCTAAAGTTCCAACTTTAAAGAAACATTTTGCCAAAAGATTTTGAAAAAATAGTGAAGGCTCAATTGATTTTAATTTCTTTAATTAAAGCAAAAGAAGGATAGCTCTATAGAAAGGCTGGGATTTTCCAGGACTCCTATTTTTAGAGAAAATTCTATTGAATTTTTTTTGAAAAAAAAAAATGATGGTTAGATTAATTTTAATTTCTTTGATTAAAATAAATGAAGAAAAAATAATTTTAAGTCATTTAATTAAAGCAAATGAGGATACAAAGTGTCTTTAAACATAAGTTATAACTAATAATTTCAATATGATACATCATGAGACCATTACGTACAATTCGAATGACATCATGAGACAGATCAAATCTAACTTTTGGTAGGTAAAAAAATTTGAAAAATGTAAGAAATTTTGAAGGCAAGCCAAGACCCCCTAGCCCCTGAGTAGATCTGTCATTGTCTCCACCTACGTCTTGTCATTCTTAATAGTTTCCAATACATTTAGTTGCAAAGTAACAAAAAATAAATAAAATACATTAGTTGCTCAAAATCAACCGGCTTCTCTCATTCAAAAATTATTTCTCTATCTATATAATAAAACATGAAAGAACTTAAATCTTAGGGTAAATTGCACCGTTAGTCTCTTAAGTTTGACACTTATTGCACTTTCATCTCCGATGTTCTAATTGCGAAAATTTGTCCTCCATGTTGTAAACATTGGCTGGCTTTTGTCCTTACCCCTAACTGTCATCTAAAATTGTGACAAAAAAAATGGCATGTGAGCGGTATGTGATGGAACAGGAAGAGCAATATAGTCATTTAACGCTCCTTCCCGCCCATTTAACCTCTTCAGTTGCCTGAGTGTGTTCCTATTGACGATCATACCTAGGGTTCACAATTGGATTTGGGGAATTCGTCTTCTTCTTCTCGTGCTTTTGAAATCAAGAGTAGTTCTCACCTAAGTAGGGTTTCAGATACTCCTATAATGGCCAGCTGATTCAATTGTGAACGATGAGAAGACGATGACTTCAATCCAGAAAATGGTAAATCAAAGACCATTAAGCTTGAATAAATTTTTTATTCACTCTTTAACACATCGATTTTGTTGAAAACAAATTTCAAAGTACTTCTTGCATGCAATCTGTGATTATTTTATATAATTTTTTTTATATGCATGTGGTCCCCAGATTTTGTTTTGTTTTATATGCATGTGGTCACAATGTTGACAAAGGAGTGGTACCCAATATGTTTTGCAGAGCCAGATTCCAAGTATTTACACTAAAAATGCATCATGATGGGAGTTTTGAGACAACCCACATAAGGAATATGTTGGAGGTAGGGTTGAAGTCTTCAACCACAAACACCCAGACTTAATGTCTTTACTGGAACTTGATGAGATGGCAAGGGGTTAGGATATGATGAAGAGATTCTCAGGTACCATTATCTGATAGCAGGCAAGAATTTAGATAATGGTTTGATTTTACTATATACTGATAATCAAGTCTTCACAATGTTTAATTCATTATATCCGAATGCAGTTGTTGATGATACATTGAACGTAGATCACTGTTTGATGTATTTAATGAGGAAGGGGTAAGAAATGATGGAGATACTGGAGTTAGACATTTTGTTATTATTAAGGAGATCAATGATGAAGATTTAAATGGTTTAGAGGAAAGTCAAGTAACTATTGTATGTAGTACAAGAAAAAATAAGCAACCATATTTGCTGGAGTATGTTGAGAAGGAAAGAATAGGGATTGAAAGAGACAGTGCAATAGTTGGAGGTGACATTGAGAGGAAAGAGCTGGGGTTGAAAGAAACAGTACAACAATTGGGGGGTGATATAGAGAATGAAAGAGTTGGGGCTGAGACAGACAATGAAACTTCTAATGGATCTGATTTTCATGACAATGAATATGATGTAGAAGAAGATGATAAAATGTTTGAGACTTATGTTGACATGGATGTTGAATGGGCAGGGTGTGACTAACATTGGAAAGGGTATGGAAAAGGAGAAATCAGCAAACCATGGTAATGTCGAGAATGATGGGGTTGAGTCTGATTATGGACCATCAGATGAACTGTTGAGCATATATGGTTCCTCATCAAATGAAGATAGTAATAAAAGGAGAATGCCAAAGTACCTGAGTTTAGGGCTGAGACTGATATGAAGAATCCAAGATTCAAGCTGGGGATGCTTTTTGGATCACCTGTTGAATTCAAAGAAGCAACAAAGGAATATTCAATTAGGGAGGGAAAACAAATAACCTTTAAGAAAAATGATCATGTGAGGGTTAGAGCAGTGTGCAAGAGAAAGTGAAAGTGAATGATTTTTACATCTATTATGGATGACAACAAAACATTCCTAGTCAAAACATTCAATGGTAAACATACATGTGGCAGGTCCTTTAAGAACCCAATGGCAAATTCTAATTGGCTGGCCAAAACTTACCTGGATGACTTTAGAGCGAATCCCAATTGGCATGTTGAGGCAATTATAGAAAGGGCAATGAAGGATCATCAATTGAGTTTTCTAGGGATCAATGTTACAGGGCAAGAAAAACAACTATTCAAATTTTTAAAGGTAGCCTTGTAGAGAAGTATGCTAAACTATGGGATTACTGTGATGAATTGAAGAGGACTAACCCTGCTAGTAATATATTCATGAAAATAGATGATGTGTTTGAGATGGAATGTGAACCTAGGTTTGAGAGATTGTACATATGTTTAGATGCATTGAAGAGGGGATTTAAGGAAGCATACAGACATGTGGTTCCTTGGATGGATGTCATCTGCAAGGTATGCATAATGGACAACTACTCTCAACAATTAGTGTAGATGCTAATAATAGCATGTACCCAGTTGCCTATGTTGTGGTTGAGATGGAGGGCACAGCCACATGGACATGGTTTCTAATCATTCTGGTTGAAGATCGGGGAATAACCAGTACACGTGGTTGGACTATAATGTTTGAAAAATCAAAGGTATGTTGTTAAATCTTAAATTTTCAAACATGTTTGTTTTACAATTGTTATAGCATAACTAATTGAGTTTTTGTTTGTATAGGGACTAAAGCATGCCATTCAGGAGTTGCTTCTAGATGTTGAACATAGGCACTGTGTTAGGCATCTGCACAACAATTTCAAGATTAAACACAAGGGAAAAGCACTAAAGGACATTGTTTGGGCTGCTGCAAGATCAACTTATGTCAACCAGTATCATGAGAATATGATGAAATTGAAAAATGAAGATTCAAATGCATTTGACTGGTTCGAAGATAAGCACCAAGGAACTGGTCTAGGTCACACTTCAACACATTATGTAAGTGTGACATACTTTAGAATAACATGTCTAAATGTTTCAATTCCTATATACTTGGGGCAAGAGACAAACCCATTATATCAATGTTGGAGAGGATAAGATATTTACTGATGAGGAGGTTGTTTGCAAAGAGAGATATAATGAAAAAATGAGAGGGCATGATATGCCCTAAAATCCATGAAATTTTAGAGAAGAATAAGAAAAAAGCTTCTTTTTGCATTACTTATTGGTCTGGAGGATCACAGTTTGAGGTTAAGCACTATTATGGAGATCAGTTTATTGTGGATGTGAATGAACATACTTGTGATTATAGAAGATGGGATTCAACTGGCATCCCTTGCTCACTTGCAATCCACGCAATTGTCTACAAAGGAGATGAGCCTGAGGATTTTGTGGATGATTGGTATACGAAGGACACTTACCAAAAGGCTTATAAGAATATTATTCATCCAATAAATGGGTCCAAGATATGGGTTAAGTCAAATGAAGTTCCTCCTCTACCTTCGTTTCATCATAAGCAACTAGGCAAGCCAAAGAAACTAAGAAGAAAAGAACCAGATGAGGCAGCAAAACACAATCCAAATCCCACAAAACTGAGAAAAGTCCATATTTCATTGAAGTGTGGCAAATGTGGTGAAAAGGGACACAACAAAAGAAGTTGTATGGCAAGTTCTGGGTCTGCTCAAACTTCTAGGTCTGCTATTGCTCAAACTTGTGGGACCGCTACTGCTCTAACTTCTGGGTCTGCTACTGCTCAAACTGGTGGGACTGCTACTACTAAAACTTGTGGGGCTGTTACTGCTCAAACTTCTGGGACTGCTACTGCTCAAAATTCTGGGACTGCTACTGCAAATGCAAGTGTTGTAGTTGGAAAAGGTGTTTAGTCACATAGGAGATAGAAGTTATAGGTCAAAAGAAATGTTATCCCACCAACATCATCACAACAGTTCAAACCACCTTGTTCTACTCCAAATCTAGCACCATTCTTGTGGAAAGTTTAGACCTGTACAACCCTTACATCACTTCAATCATTAGCAAACCAGGTGAAGAATGGAGGGAATCCAGATAATGGTGGTGTGAAGGCCAAAGGGAAAGAGGTGTAATACAGATAATGGTGTAGTTGTTCCAGTAGTTGTTTTTGTAGACCAATGTATTAGAATTGGGTTGCTTGAACATCTATAAACTACTCTTTTGTTTATGTACACCTATTATGCCTATTTTATATAGTACATTCCATCAAACAAATAAGTAGCTCTTTGGAAAAGAAGACAAGAGAACTTCATTCATAATTAAATGGCACAAATGCCTTTTCTTACTTACATAATCAACACACCCTTCTGCACATCTAAACAAACCCTTCTAGACTAAACAAAACACCAGATTACATTAAACAATACACTCTTCTAGACTAACCAAACAACACATGTCATTCTTAATTTCCTAATTCATAACTAGGTGCAGGATTACTCTCTTTGTTCATGTTCACGCCTGAGTTTTTCCATTTCATCAACACAACCAACCATGTCAAAATTAGCAAGATCCCCAACACCTTCTCTCTATGTCTAATTCTTGTCAACTGTGCTTCCATTCTCTTGATTCTCACCAACAAGCCAGGAATGATGTTCTTCGATTGGTTACACATGGGAGGGTTATACCATTCAAAATTCCCACATCCTCCAATTTGCTGCATACAAAAAACAATAAAAAATATTGCCCAACCTTCGAAAAAATTAAGTAATTCAAAACAACCCAACAAAAAGTTATCGTATTATTCTCACAACAAAGGAATCTCCTACCGGGATTTTGATCTGTCCACGAAGTAAACATCTTTGTCCTTCTCCTATAATATTCCATTTTCTTCTTCCTTCGCCTTCGCCTTCGTCCTTGTCCAGCTCCCTTGCTTTTCCTCTTCATCTTCGTCGTCCTCAGCTTGGCTTGTGGTTGAATGATTCAACTGTTAGCTAAGGCAACACAACTAAAAAGGATAAATGGGCGGGAAGGAGCATTAAATGAATATATTGCCCTTCTTGTTCCATCACATGCCGCTCATGTGCCATTTTTCGTCACAATTTTAGACGGTAATTAGGGGTAAGGACGAAAGTCAGCCAATGTTACAACATGGAGGACAAAATTGCCAAAATTAGAACACCGGGGACGAAAGTGCAATAAGTGTCAAACTTAAGGGAATAACGGTGCAATTTACCTTGAAATCATATATCCAACAGATTTCTCCCGTAAAACCATCTCATCCAACCCCAACCCCAACCCCAACCCAATCCAACCATCACATCCAACCCAACCCAACCCAGAGCAACGGCTCCCTGGCAACACACAGAGCAACTTGACGTGCTCTCTCTCTCTCTCACCTCCTCCCTCAGTCTCTCATCTCAGTCTTTTCTCTCTCAGTCTCTTCTCACACACTCTATGTCAGGTGGCGAGTCCCTCTTCTACGCAAACACCCTCCCCCATCCCTCATCTGCCAAACAACATCCCCTATTTTTGTTTCTCCCTCCCCTCCCCTCTTTTGCTTCTCCCTCCCCTCAAGCGACCCTCCGCATAGCACCAGCACCACGCACAGATTTGACCAGCACCACACACAGATTCGACCAAGTTAGTATGTATCCATCCATTCTCTCTCTTCTACCTCTCTTTCTGTCCCAAACCCCCACCACCTACCCATCTCTCTCACCTTACCCCTGTAAGTCAATCGACACACACAAAATTGTAGAGCCACATATTCAACCCTAAATCACAACCCCCCCCCCCCAATTCAATTGTTCAATCGATGAACAAGCTTTATATGGAGTTTGCCTTTTGAATAGGCTTCACATTCTATATTAATTGAACAGACTATTTTTTGTTAGAACTTTTGATTTAAACAAAGGTTTTTTTGTGGGTTTATTACCTGTTAAGGTTTTTTGCGGCTCAGTTGAAGGCCTGTTACAATCACCTAATCACCTTAGCTCTATTGAATCTTTTCAAACCATCTTTAAAAATGTTTGTTGAACTAAATTTGGTTTGGAATCTATTCATGGTGGTTTGATTTGGAGTAGAAAGAATCTGTGATTTGGAGCAAAAAGAAGAATTTGGTTTGGAATCCATTTATTTTCCTTCTTTTTTATGGTTTCATTTTTATTTTCTCTACTCCAAATTCCACCTTTTTTATAGATGGTTTATGCGTAATTTTCATGGTTGAGTAGTTGTGTTGATTTTCATGGTTGAGCATTTGCCCAACCCAAGAATATTAGCAGTGATGCTTTAACATATGCACTATGCAGTCTGCAGAACCATAAAACTTCTTAATTTGGGCTCTAGTTTTCTAGACTGTAGGGGGAAACATATGCAGTATGCAATACCATAAAACTTCTTATATAATTTGTGTGTTTTTCCAAAATCTTTGTGTGGTATTGCAATGCTAACAGCTGCATATACCCTTAGATTGAGTATGCTTGCAACTTCCTATGACCTACTAAAGCAAAAACATGACCAAAAATGCCTTTTAAATTTGTTTTATAGATTTTTCGATGTTCCAACCAAGTACCATGTCTCAGTTACTTGAGTTCTTGGTGTAACCTGGCTTGGACTATAATCACCATAATGCAACTCCTAATTTATGGACACTAGCACCATTTATGGACTCATAATTTGTTATATCCACTAACCAAACACATTCCAATGTTGGAGCATTTGTTCCATTTGAATATTTGCAAGATTTTACTCTAATTGTTTTCTAATTCTATGTTTCAAGGATATCTATTGTGTATAATTTTTATTACTTGTTTGGTTGGTGGATATATTTTACTTATGGTTTTGTTTCACTATTAATTGTATTTGGATTTTTCTTCATATCTCCAACACTCTCACTTTCCTGATCCATGTTAGATTTTCAAGAAAATGTTTGAGAGATGAAAATAAAAGGGTTCTCATAACTTCAAATTCACTAAGGTAATCAATTTTGTGCCAAAGTTCCCATTCCCTCCCCCTTTGGTACTGGCACCCACACAATACACACACATATATATTTGTGTAAACACGCACTCTACCCATCCCATAGAGCTATGGAACATCCAAGATCTTCTTATACCTTTGGTGATCCCCATGAATTTGTTTGAAATCATTTTTTGCTTGCTCTTAGCGTTTTTATAGTTCATGTTCAAAGTTTACTCACAATTGGTAGTTAAAAGATTAGGCTAGGTAGATTTATATGCACTGCTTTTATCTTATTTATTTTGTTAACTGTTAATTGCATAGAGCATTTAAACATTGAGTATTCTTGGGTGCATGCAACATGAATATTTTGTTTATGGAATGAATTCATATGTTGATATGGAATTCATTTACGTAGTTGCGTTAGTTGGGAAATAGTTGTGTTAGGTAAAACTATGTAATAGTGAGAGTTTTAGTAACCTTTTTGGTTATGAAAATAAATTGTGTATGCAAGTTAAAATTTTTATGAGGGCCCATAGCATGTCGTAGAACCCCCCCCCCCCTCCCCCCAAACACGTACAAAACACACACACACACACACACTGTTGGGATTTTCACCGTTGTAGGTTTTTTGAATGTTATATTTTTAAGAATTGGATTTTCAAACTGGGATTGTAAATTTATTATTCATAGTTCACAATCATACATAACAAATAGTTCACAAGAAGTTGCGTTTAACATGCCTATGTCAATATTTATGTGTTTTTAGCAATTTCACAACAAAATGAATATGTGTATTTAACAAATATTTCTAATTTTTTGATTTACTCTGTTTCTTATATTTGTAGCCATCATAGTGTACTAACCACCACTGCAAACTCACAACATTGAAAAATAAAAGATCTCACCATTTTTGTTCATATGAGTTTAAACCTATTCTATTTCTTTTTATTTTTTTTTGGCACCGCAAAATATTCATATATTTATTTCACTTTATTTTCACGCATCTATTTACAAATTGATGACAACTTAAAGCAAACCATAAGATGAGCTTCATTTCACTCATATTATTAATCATACATATAGACCAAATTCGTAACTGATACATACATTCTTGTAGTTGTTATGATGTCATGGACTGATTTTGATATACATTTGATTATATAGATACATGGGTGAATGCATTTTTTTATATAAAAAAAAAAAATTGTCGTGTTTTTGAGTGTTGTTTCAAAATCAATAGCTACGAGAACATCGTAAATTAATTGTGCTTTCTGTTTACCAGCACTTAGCTCTTTATTGCTATGCTTGGTGCTATGGAAAATATATTTATTGTTTTATGTTGGTTGCATTCCAAATTATCCAGGCTTTGGATATAATGGATTTAAGTACATTTTTTCATTCTAAAATCAGTAGGGGTCTACGAAGCATTATTATAAAGGGGCTTTTTCTTAAGAAGAAGTGAGTCTCTTTTAAAGCTGTGGTTTACAAATCTCTTTAATATGTTGTTAATGAAACTAATTTCATAGAACTATGCATGCGTGGGTCCCCATAGCATATGTGGGTTTGCTTCACTGTCGTTTGAACTCTCACTTTCTTTTTTGGTAGATTCACCTTTATCACCCTCGGACCCAGTATTGTTTTCTAGGCTTGATCGAACTTTATGAATTTCAAATGCTCAGTCATTGATTGCATTAAAACCTGGATCATGCTATGGAAAACTTGACTTAACATGCGAATATTGAATCTGTTGATTTTGTTGTTGGGGCCGATACTTTTTAATTTAGTTAAAGTAATCTAATATTTGTTGTGCAGTTTTGGTATTTAAAGTAACTTAATATGAAATTGGATAATTCTTCCTTTGGCAAATCTGAATGTGAAACTGGTGATGTCATATTTTTGGTTAAATTTAAATAATTAATTATCAATTTGATCATGTCACGCCCTGAATTTCTAC